ATATTCCCGACAGAAAAAAAAAAGCGACCCACACTCATCACTGTCGCTTTTTTTTTTCTGTCGGGAATATTCCCCGTGTTATTAATGTGTTATTGTGTGTTATTCATGTGTTATTATGTCTTGAGAATATTTTTGGTGTTATAATAACATAATAACACATCAATAACACATGAATAATACACAATAACACAAGAATAACACATAAATAACACAGGAGAGAATATTCCCCGTGTTACTGTGTCGTTTTTTTCCTATCGCGTGGGATGTCGTGGCGTGATTTCATTGACTACGCACGTTACTTCTACGTACGTAATACCACTGATGTAATATTTTTTCAGAGGCGAGCGAGACTAGCAAGACTTACAAGGCTCATGGGACTTGCTATTCTCGCGGGACTTGCGAGCTAAAGCGGCATGAAGTAGAGAGTTGTTCGCTTCATTTAGCGAACAAAGTTGAGCCAAGGAGATGGGAGCATGCTCCTTATTGTAACAACACAATGAGATGTTCCGTGAATTGTTCAAACCAAACAAATGGTTGTTGATTTCTTAGACGGTGAAGTTCGTGTGGGGAGGGAGGTGCCATGGCTCTGATATAATGTAGAATTCTGGAAATAATTTTATCTGTTGCTCACATTGTTACATTGCACTTTTCTACATATATATAATAATAAAAAAATAAAATAAGAATCTCTCCAAATGGTGAAGAATAGAAAAATGGAAATACAAATAAATGATATACAATTAGTGAATTATATTTTAAGAGAAGGAAATAAATTTATTAATCAAGCATGTGGATTGACACTTTCCTACAATTAATTTTTTAATTAGTTTACTTTCGATATAATGAAAATTTAAACTTACCTTCAAATTCAAGACAACACCAACATTGGGTTGCAATCATTCTTACCTTCATGAGATTATGGTTCTCAACCTTTGCCCAAACCTGTAAGCTCTCCCATCTTTGATGTTACTCGAACATTTGCTTGGTGTTGCGCATTGAGACCACACACACACTTACTGTCTTGCTTGCTTGCCTTCACCCAGGTTTGCTCGCACTCAACCCCACACCTCTTTGCTCAATATCGTCCTCGATCTCTCGCATACACCTTGACACATACAATTGTGTTCAAACTTGCTTAGACGATAAATATAGACTACTTGTCTCCTCTCATTTGTTCATCGTTCACCCTCATGGTTTTGCACCGGGGAATCATCCTCTTTGCATCTGGCTCTCTACATGCCACAGAACTCGCTTGTCCCTCTCCTTTTGTCTCCACATTCATTATTTTTAATATACTGTGAACCGACAAAACTATTTGCTCGGTTGAACCAACTTTTGTGAGCTTGCTTTTCTTTTTTTTTTTTTAATAATGGGCATTATAATTTTATTATATGGTTTGCAACATGAAGATTTTTTGAAAGGTCACTAACCTTAGTACTACTCTCACCCAAACATGGTTAATTAAGCATGGTTAATTATGAAATTGAGATCAATGCACTGACACTAGTATGGTCGCACCACTCGGCTCAATCACGTCCTTGATTTATATTAGGCTTCTCGATTTGGCATAAGGGAATTGTCCCCTCCGTCTATAATACCCAATATAATCATAAAATTGGTTACAAATTGTTCCTAAATTATGCCCCCACTTTTTGCGCCCCACTTTATATATTCATATAAATTACGCATGTCCCATTAAAATCTTATTCCCACATTATAGCTAAATCAAATTTGGTAACCTCTCGTATATTAGCTTGGAAGGAGGAGTAGAAGAAATTAGAAGTCAAAAGGAAAAAATGAAGACAAAAACGAAACGGATGAGAAGAGAGATAAATGAATAATGAAGGAAGACTAAGTTTTGAGAATTGATTTGATTAGAAAAAATGTAAGAGTGGAAGTTTTTATGAGAGGAAATTTGTGGAAAATGCATTAGGTTATGATTTCTTGGAACAGAATTGAAATAATAAATAGGATTTTATTACAAATTAGTAAATTTGTTGATTTCATCTGGTTGTATAAAAGATTCAAGTTTGAAGACAGGAGAAATCAGAAAATATGTCCCAAAAAGAAATATGAAAGTATGGTGAGATATTCAATCGCTAAAATAAGAAATTAATCATATATAGGATTTGTTGTTTGATAATGTGCATTGATAATTTATATATTTTATGTCTTTGCCTTTAAAATTTCTTCCATATTGAAGACATTCGATTATGTTAACTTAATTTAATTCTTGTAAATATTTTTCTTTTCATACATAGTTCATAATATTTATACTAAGCATTGGAGAGATGAGAATGCTTAGGTGGATGAGTGGCTTGACACTTAGAGACAAAAAACAAAATCAATATATCTGTGATAACGTTGGTGTAGCTTCACTGACAGACAAAATTAGAGAGAGTCGTCTTAGATGGTTTGTTCACATTAAACGTCGATCATCTGATGATCTTATTAGGTGAGTAGATGTTTTAGATTCCCCCTATGTTAAGAAAGACAGAGGTAGACAAAAAACTTAGACATTTTTTAAAAATGAACTTAATCTATTCGAATTAAAAGAAAATATGACACTCAATATGACACAATGGAGAAAATGGTTTCATGCAGCCGAGTCCGGTTAGTGGGACAAAAGCTTGTTGTTGTTGTTGTTGTGTAGTTCATAATATTATTATAGAATTGCAATATCAAGCATAAATGCTATTATGATATATCACATTATATTTTTGTGCATGTTAATTAAGTTGATTATTTATAGGTGCTTTCATGTTAGAGAATAATTGCATATAAAAATATTATAACAGGTAAAGATGATCAAAATAATATCATATAATCTGTGATACATAGGTAGCTATAGTGATTATCTGTGTACGGAATGTTAAAAATTTTTATTATAAGAGCCTTGGTAAAAAGATAAATGAATTTTTTATTCTTGATATTAAAGCTGGAACTTCTAGTTAGTATTTTGGGGGTTATTTTTAAGCATGATATTAGAGTACAAATATTTATCAGCTGTTATTATGGCCAACTGATTGGGTAACAATCTAATGAAAATATGTCAAATCTTATGGAAATATAATATGACATTTCTAAAATAAAGACTGCTGAACATCAGATGGAAAATAAAAGTGAATTAAATGCATACATAACTTATATAATGTAGCGAATTAAAGATCGATCAGTGGCTGTTTTATTTTTTTTGGAGAACCAGTGTATTTCATTTGCAAATATGTTCTCTTTACCATTTGAAAATTATTGTTTATTTATTCATTATTATTGTTATTGCACATATATTAGTTACTGGTCATCATATTTGCTTTTTTCATGTTTGAATCTTGTCTTAGCATTATTTATCTCATTGAGTGTAGAGTTCATCGAATATTATACTTGTGTTTTCAAGGGAAAGGGGCAAGTTGATTATTAATCAGGTGACTTGTCCATTTGTATATTTTCTTATTGTCAATTTAGGGGGTTTTTATAAAAGACAATGAATGATATTTAACATAGAAAAAGATTTTTCTTTACGTATGATTTCTTATTTGAAGTTTCTTAAAGGCTTTGTATTTTATTAGAGGACCTTTTTATACATGCTTTCATATTTTTGTTTGTAAATGAATATTACAAATTTGAATTATTTTGTGACAATTTAGCTAGACTAATTCTCTGCTCGATCATGATGAGTACAAATTAGGATGAGTGTATGTAAAAATTGAGATGATTGAATCATCCCTTTTTATTACACTTGTGGTTGGCCTACAAAAGTTGATTAGGTTATGACAGAAATTGATATCCAAACAAATGTTTGAATTTCAGTTTACAGTGGAGGCGTAATTGAATTTAGAATCAATGTTGGAATGAGATTAACATCTGAATTTCAGTATTACAGAGGTTTGGGCTGATTCGATTCGGATGGTCCTTTAAAATTGAAAAATGGTTCATGCACAATATGATTATTATATGATAACTTTTATTAAATAAATAAATTATGCTGTTACAAATAAATAAGTTTGAATAAATAATAGAAAAAAATGAATTGTTAGTCATTCAGACCAGTTGCAAAATTAGAACTGTAAGCAGACAATTCAAGTAGAAGTGGAATTTGTATTAGAGCTAACGAAGAGGTTTGACCCAAAGAGTTACATAATATTGTTATTTTGGTCTCCCGGATTGTGGATAAGATGACTTTTCTTAAATAACCCGATACCAGAGTTAACCCAAATAATCAATAGGAAAGTAAATATTATTACTGAAAGTAAATATGGAATTACGAACGACTCACTTGAAAGGAAAAATACAAAAACATGATACTTGAAAATCTGAAATAGCAACATAAACGACAGAACACTCAACTAGGGGTAGATCCAGCGGTGGTGGGTGGTGCGGCGGTGGAAAAGGCGGTTGACAAGCAGAAAACATCAAGGCGGCTGTTTCCCTGGTGCCGGAGAGCAAGCAAACAACAGGGAGTGATGTAGGTGGGCTGCCCAGGGTGATGACAGCAAAGGAGAGGGGCTGGACAACAAAAAAACAGCTAAAAAGGGTGGTCTTAGGTTGTGAATGCAAGAGAGAAGAACTGCGGCAGTGAAGAGAAGTAGTTGCGGTAGTGACAGCAAGTTGGAAGGAGGGAAACAGATGGTCGGGCGGCTTGGACGACAGAAAAAGCCAGAAGCAGCTGTTTTCGGGTGGCATCGATGAGCGGGAATGATGGCAGCAGCGGCGGGGAATGCATGGGATTAAAGGACAGCCAAAGGGGGGTAGTCCCGAGGCTGCGACTGTGAGGAACTGCTTGAAGAGCGGTCGACAGCTTTTTAGGGGCAGCTGCAATAATGGAGGGCTGTCGAAAGTGACAGTGAGGATTTCTTTTTTTGCGCTTACTTTGTGTAGTACATGTTCCATATCCCTTCTCTTGATTTCTTTCCTCTGATTCAGTAAGTTGTGAAAGAAATTTTTGGGTATTAATTTTATTCTTTTGCAGAAGATTTTCCTTGTCTAACTTCTATCATAATTAGTGCATGGATGAGATTATGGACAAAGCACTATCCAGTCATGATAGCTCAAGCACTTGTGAAGACTTTGTTAGTGTCGTGCGATGCTGGCTTTATAAACTTCAGGTGGTGATTTTTAAGTTTTGATCCCTTCTAAAATCCTGTAAGCTCATTTAGATGATCATTGGTATTTGCATTGCACTTAAAGTATATAATCATTTGTTGCATTTGAAGTATGTAAAAGTAATTGTTTCATCTGATACTAGATATGGCGATCTTTTGCTTTATTAGGTAAACCTGTGTTTGCATTTCATGGTTATTACCGACTTCAAGATGGTTGACGCAGTTCTTGCTTGCTTCAGATATTGAGTTTCAAATTAAAAATCATTTTTAAAATATACTAAAAAAGTATGTATACTGTCATGTTGAACTGTTAATATCACAATATTTCAATTGTGTGGTTCTTCTTGGAATAACCTTATGCAGCAAACAAAGTTATCCGTGCATACAGAGCTTACTGCTTTAGTTCAAAAAATCATTTCTTGCAAGCCATTATTTGTTCGGTACTTGAAATTTTTTAATCATTTGCTTCTTTTGTAGTCTCCAATAATAATTCATTTCATGTGTTACTGATTATTCCATCTCCCGTCAGTTTTATTACGTAGCTTATATCTGAATTGCTTTGCAAATCCCGAGTTCTCAAATTGCATTGAGAACACTTTTCTAAAAGTTGAATTGCTGAATATATGAGGCTTATTGTAGTTTTTGTAATATAACTTTATTGAACTAATCAAATGAATGCTAGTTATAAATGTCGCTTGAAAAGGTGGTTTTGTTGATATTTTAACTCTTAAATTTTTTATTTTTCTTACTATTGCATGCATCATACATTACGAACAAGAATATGCTAGCACACAGAATTATTTTTATTCACCTAATTTTCTCACCCAAGTCATCTACTTAACTTTATGCACAAATTTTATTGTTTTCTCTTGTTCATTTAGCATTGATCTCATACGGTTCCTTGCTGAATTTTTCCTTTTCATACAGCTGTCGGACGCACTGCATGGTGCTTTTGGTGAGACTAACCAGAGTGAGCTAGCAGCATTTACCTCCTATGCGTTGGCCATGCCAAATAACTTCTTGGCCCTAGTCGACACTTATGATGTAAGTTAATTCCTAATTTTTCTGATGTTTTCTTTTTTCTGCTATCAGTATATCAGTTCTGTGTAGGATTGAAGAATTCACGCCCTTTTTGTAACGTCCCATTTTTATTACCCGGGGAAGAGGAGTGAAAGAGCCAAAGTGGGAGAGGGAACGAAAAGCTAAGGAAACCAAAGAGAAGAGGAAGCGAGGGAGTCGGAATTCAAAGAGGTGAGTTCTCCTATAATATTGCTACATTCGAGTCAAGAGAAGACAATGCGGTATACCTATAGAGTCAAAAGAAGAAACACCACGGTTTGGCATGGGAGTGGTCGTCGTAGAGCAAGGAGAGACGGGATCTCTCGACAAGTGGCTTGCGTACAAATGGGGAAGAAGGCGCCAGTGTTGGTGTCAAGCAGAGTAGGTGCTGTAGTGTAGAGGAGGCGAGTGAGGGAGTTCCTGCACACTGTTGACCTCATTTTTAGTGAGGTTTTAGTCTCCTACTCTTAAAACCAATAATCTAGCCTTAGGAGTTCCTTGTTGACTATCATAGCAGGCTATTAATGGAGCCCACCTTCCGTAGAACTTCAAACCACTTTTTGACTCATTTTTTGTGAAGAACTCGCATGAGTGGTTCCAAACACTAAACTTCTAGTTGCAAGGGCTAAGGACCAACATGTAGAGGGCCCGAAAATGAGTTCCTATAGGATTAAACAGCCTTAGGTGAACCCTTTGTGACTCGTTTGTGACTCTTTGTGACTCGATTACTCGCGAACGCCGCAATTCACGCACTCGCTACACCACGCACGAATTTGACACATTTTTGGCTCGACCGTCGGCGAACTCGTCCGGATGATCCCGGATGACGAAACGGACCGCACCGATGCTTCCGGAACGTCAACTTTAGCTTGGAATGACACCCGCGATGTTATGGTTTCGCACGCGAGTGACTAGCACAAATATCGATGCATATATTTTTTTTTTAGCGGTGCGCGGGCCCGGGCTCAACCCAGGTCCGACTCAGGTTCGATTCAGGCTGGACATGGGCTAAGCACGGGCTAATTACTTCAGCTCAGAAATTTCAAAATTCAAAATTTAAAATTTAAATTTATCATTTAATTCCCCCGTAAAGCTTTTCCAATTAAGCTGGCTGCCTGAAAGGAAGGTATTCAATTCCCAGCCAAAGCTTTGAAGTAACGGCTCGCTCACATTCGGCCATACTAATTGGCCACGATTCTGATGCATTACTTGCTTAACACAAGGTTTTCACTGGCATACATATATAACGTCTAGTTCTTATGAGTTTACATGTCCCACATTTGGAACTTGAATACTTGCATGTGTGACAAAGGAATTCTTCTGCTGCATATGATACATTGTTTGTGGATGGTTTAATCATAATTTCTTGAGGGTTGGTCTACCTACTGTTTTGGGGGCATTAAACCCATCATTTGGGGGCTGCCCTTGCTCGATACTTTCACTGTTTTTGGAGTCATTTTGGGTGCCGATTTTGGGTTGATTTGTGATTTTTGTATTTGTTATTTTGGAGGAAATTTTGGACTGATTTCTTGACTGATTGCCCATTGTTTAGAACTATTTGAAAATGTCATTGTGGGTTGTACTTCTTGGTTCCGTTTCATGGCTTTTGGGCTGCACTTTGTTAGTCTATTTGGTGGTTTTTGAGCTTTATTTTTTTAGTCTGAATTGTGAAACATTCGGGCCGATCAAAACACTGTTTTAGAACAGATTTAAACACTCTTTTCAGGGGCCGATTTAATTATACTTTTTGAAAGAATTTAATTTTTTTTTGTATGTCGATTCACTTGTTGTTTCGTTCCTTGGCTTTGTTAGTTTTGGAAGTGAGTCGGCCTTCTTTTTTTTTCGTTTGTTTTGTTATTTTTGTTAAATGGTTAAGTCATAAAGATGAGGATTGATGATTTAATTAATTGGAAGATATAAAAAATCTTAAATCACTTTAAGAACAAGTTAAAGTTAAGGCTTCCTAAATTTTAGGAGCACGCCCTAGGTGAGAGTCCATCCATCATAGACTTCCTAGTTTTTAGGAGCACAACCTAGGCGAGAGTCCATCCACCTAATTCTCAACATAAACTTCCTAGTTTTTAGGAGCACAACCTAGGCGAGAGTCCATCCACCTAATCCTCAGCATAGGCTTCCTAGATTTTAGGAGCACACCATAGGTGAGAGTCCATCCACCTAATTTTCATCATAGACTTCCTAGATTTTAGGAGCACACCCTAGGTGAGAGTTAATCCACCTATTTTTCAGTATAGGCTTCCTAGATTTTAGAAGCACATCTTAGTTGAATGTTCATCCACCTAATTTTTGAATAAATAACGAAATTTGACACTTGGTCCTGATTCACAAATTAATTAAGACACTAGACATGAGGACGCACTGTAACGTAGTTCATGCTTCCTTAATTAAATCAACAGTGAAATTCCCTCAATGACTTAACCTACAATGAAACCCAGTGCATCGGAATTTGAGCTTGAATATTACACTCAAATCCTCCTGGCAATTGGGGAAATTTCTTAACGCCACATATGGATCATCGGACTAGGATGAGTCTAGGGTCTAGGTGGCGAGGGCGATGACGACATTGCTTATGTTGTGTGCTTAAACGAGGGATACGAGATTAGATTATTAGAATAGTATCTCCTACCTTAAGGATCTTCAATAAGGGAGAGGGAAAGACCTATGATACTATTCGCCGATTCTTGGTGGGATCGTTGCCTCCGACACTCCTAGGTTGTCAGTAGTTCTAGTACGATTAGAGTGACTAGCCTGTGGACTTACGACTTTACAAAATATTTACAAAAATAAAATAAAAATCCCTTTTGCATATTAAAAAGAACTCTGCATAAAAAAAACTTAATCAACAGCTTTTGCATGAAAATCAAATAATTTTTATATGAAAATTTATAAAAGTTCATGGATAGTCATTTGGATTGAGGTTAAGAACTACCTCCTGTAGATTGTTGAGTTGACAACTCTTACTCAAGGTCGGGAAGCACACAACCCAGTTTTGAGCCCCCACTTTTACCAATGTCTTATACCCAGTCTTGATCTTTCATATGTGGTTGTTTCTTTTGCTCGTGATTTTTATAACTCATTTTCTGACTTCGCGTTGGGTTTTCTCGTCTTGTTTGATTTTCTTGCAAGTTTATTTAAATCTGCTGCAAATCATATTATGTTCGCAACACTAATAATGCAACAGTAGCAGATGCCCATGTACGCTTTTACAGTTTATCTACAACATTTTACTTTATTGCATTTTACCTTTAAAGTACCTTTTATTTACCTGCAATTTGACTACTCTGCATGCAAAATCAAACTTTGACACCAAAACTGGGAAACACAAATCACCAATCTCAAACACTTAAACACTAGAGTCATCGCTACAACAGGAGCTTAGAGCCAACTTTGTGGGCAGCACGACGAGTAATTCAGATTGAGCAGCAAGAGGATCTTCTTCAGCATTATCCCTTTCTAGCATAATAACAACCTATAAGACTTCGAGGTAGCTCGCTTAGCGCGACGTAAATCCTCGCACTCCCTTTTTAGGCTTTTGTGCACTCATGTTGCGCGGCATGAGTCCTAACTCGCCTTAGGTTCCGAGGTTGTCGTACGGTACGACGTAAACCCTCATATCTCTGCGGGCTACTTGCATAATCGGGTATTATGCGAATGTAAGTCCCAAATAATAAAATTGGCAGGATTGAATAATTGGATAACATCATCTCTAAAAATGCAGCCACACAGCAATATAGTTTGGGAGGTCACTGAGGATTCCCCTCAGAATCTGTGACATCCCCTACCTTTTACTTCTTTTGGACTCCTGAAAGGAATGTTCTCACTTGAACCACTCTCACTTATTTTTTCCACCTCCTACATTGAAAACCTGAACCTTGAATTCTTGAAGACTAGAACCACTGATCATTATCGATAGTTTTCTCAAGTGACTCCCGTCACTTAAGATGTAATTACTAAAGGGAACTTGAAACCCAAGTAAAATAAATTCTATTTAATCTTTGTATTATATATGGGAACTTGTCGGTCATACATAAAAGGTTCGCAGACAAAGACCAAACGGATGTCACAAATCTCTTAATTTGCATGATTGGGTCTATCGCCAAGATCTACACTTATCTTTCAGGAGGGTGTAGTATTTGCGGTATCAGACACAATTATGCAAACTATTGGACGAATGAGATCCATTTGGTCTCATTTTTTTGGAAATTAAAACATATTACTTTCAAAACCCAAATTATATATCTATTAAATTAAATTAAATTTCAAAAATTATTTTCATATTCATATTTTCAAATGAACCAAAAAGCTGACCGACACACTCGATCCTGACAAACGAATCGAAGCAGGAGAAAGCGGAAGAGTGGCTTTGCAAGAGAGGGAGAAGGGAGAAGAGCAGGTTCCGCACTTAGCGGCAGAGGTTCCGCACTTAGCGGCAATCGAACCAAGCTGTAGTAGTGCCGAACTGAAAAAGTAAGATTTAGTAAAATTTATTCGATTTATCAATAAAGTTAATATATATATATATATATATATATACATCAAGTATTTAAAAAAAATCCAATTGACTACAAGGCTACAAAGATTTATAACTAATTAAAATATTGATTAAGAAAATAGAATAAAAATTATTAAATTAGATTAAGAAGATGTTTTAATATAAATAATAATTTTTAAATCTTGCTCAAACCTTATTGTCTTATAACTACATGATTATGATTGTTAAAATAACTCTTTGTTCGTGAACAGCTCGTGTTCGGCTCATTAAGCAAACGAGCCGAACACGAACAC